GGGTACTAGTTAATGATTGATTATTAATGCCATTAATTTCAGAACTTACGGAACGTGTAGGTAATTTTAGCTTACTGCAAAGCGACTGCGTTATAAAGTTAGCCGTACTGCCGTTATCGAGTAGAAGCTGTGCGTCCATGCTGTTGCCGTTGTCGTCAATCACTTTCACCATAGCTGTGGACAGTAAAACATGCGAAGAAGTAGTAGGTTGTATGGGAGTATTACTTGACAAAGCGATATTATTTTGATTAGCGCAAGCAATGGATGATGAAGAATGGTGAATAGGCAATGCGACACTAGAACTACTAGGCATCGGGTCTTGAAATGAAGTATGCTTAGACTCTTCGGTGTGCAAAAGAGTATTATGTTTACTATTGCAATACTTACAATGCGTTAATCGACATCGCTTAGTACCGTGCCCGGGACGTAAACAATTAAAACATATTTTTAATTCCTTTGCCTTTTTTAATCGTTCCTCAACGGTTAAACTACGAAAATGTTCGCATGTAAATAAAAGATGATTTTTTGAACATAAAGGACATGACCAATTATAAGATTTCATGTTGTTATTTTTTGACTGTGCAAAGGAACGACTATTATTTATGTTTGATGCGACTATATAACTGTTATTTTTCGAAATTGTTTTACTTACATTTGTACTTTGTTTATTTTCTATAGTTTCCAATAAATCAGCTTTGTTACTAATAAATTCGCAAAATTGTTGCAAAGATGGTGGTTTCGATAAGCCATTACGATATTCTTCCCAATGTCTACCGGTTACGTCGTCTAATTTGTTTGACATAATGTAAACTACAAGCGTATCCCAATGTTGCGTCGGCTCGTTCAATGTTTTTAAGGCTCGAATATTTTTGTTAATTGTATCAAGCAAACGACGTAAACAAAGACTCGATTCTTTAAAAACCTGTTCAACATTAAACAATGCCTGCACATGATTATGCACTAATTGACGACTATTGTCATATCGATCACATAGCAACTGCCACGCCATTAAATAATTGTCGCCTTTAAAATCTATATTCGAAATAATGTCGAGCGCCGCACCCGAGAGCGAGGCGCGCAGATAGTGGAACTTGCTTATATTATCGATAGAAGCACTACTATGAATTAATGATAAAAATGTGTCCCTATACTCAAGCCAGCACTGATAACTACCATGAAAGCGAGGTAAATCAATTTTGGGTAAGCGAATAAAATTGTGTTGGAATGAGTCACCTGCTTGTTTGCATATCGAGCCTGCAACAGAGCGGCCATCATCCGTTGCACCTTCACGGCACAACAGACTGCGCGCTTGCGCCATCAGCGCGTAATAACGCTCTTCGAATTTTGAACGTTCCTCATATTCGTCCTCTGGCTTGTCGGAACACACCTCAATCTCCACCTGTAATTCATCGAATTGATCGTATAAGGCCTCGTATTTATTTAGTCGACATTGCAATTCATGTTGAAGTTCGGAAATTATGCCAGAAGCGCTAATTGAGTTAATATAATTAGAAAAATTGGTAAGCTTGGCTTTCATGCCACTACGTTTTCGAATTAAAATATCTAGTTGGGCCATTATTAAATTAAAGGGAAAAAATTATCGATAAGTTATACGACGAAGAAAAAAAATATAATGTGGGTACTTCACTATTTGGTAATTAGTCGCTCGTAAATGAGTAAGCGTGAAATTGAACAATTATATTAATACAATAGGAAGCCAATTGAAGAGGATTTAGAAGGGAAATATGGAACGAACTCACTTTATCTTCCCTTGTCCACACAGTACTTCCTTTGTCTTGATGTTAGATGTTTGATTCCGACGACCGTTGAGCCGATGTCGCGATAATTTGCTGCACTCCGTTCGCTCCAAACGTATTAAATTAGCGGACTGTATTTTTGTTGATTCTTGAGGCTCGAAGGACCATTTGTTTAGGCCAAACACAAGTATTTGGTTATAATGGTTTAATAAGCGATAAATACAGAGTTGCAAATAGACAAATTGATCGTTGCGCGTATGCATCGGCGGTCGAAAGCGGAAGTTCAAGTGACGTTTCGTGCCACCGCACGTCGGTTCGCACCGGTAGTGGTGTTGCCCGCACCTCAGGCGCGAACAGAACAAAATAAAGAGTAGCAATGAACGATTGGACCATCGATGCCTCTCAAATATGAATTAATTAAAACTACAGTGAAATTAATAAGTTGAATTTCAATATAAAATCATATTACTTACATTTCGACATATTTTATTTTACGGAGCGACATCTTGTGGTGCAAATAATAATGATTTTTCAAGTAATAAAATTGTTTATTGAAAATTGGTCTGTTTTCATGAAATTCTATTAATACAGTATTAACATCACGAGAACTTTGTTTTTGTTTATATTAATGGTTCAAATAGATAAAGCAAACTTGCAATTTAAGATTAATAGTATGTTATGTCTTTTGCTGCCATCTCTGTCATCTCTCGCCTTCTGTCTGTCTTCTTTACTCAAATAATAGTGATATAAATTTTAATGTTTGACCCTAAATACCATTGAATATACATACACAAACCTGCGTACATAGATAGAGACAGTTTATATAAATATGTGTTACAAAATATGTTAGGATTATAAATAGAAGCGTGTCGGACAAATGTGTAAATTGATTTCTCCTCCGAGCCTCCAGGCCCGGCTCTGTCGGCTGACTGCAAGACACGATTTGTGATTCAGATTTGATCGAATGCTGACTGCTTCCAAATAGAATTATGTAGTTGGATTTTTTTTTGCATACATTTCAATTTGCTGTAGATGTTGGCATTGAGTTGAAATATTATCAACTTTAACAATTGGAAGAGCTAATAGCCTTATGCGTTAAGCGCCAAGATTAGGGGTAGGGATTTCCGATCACGAGGTCGAAGGTTCGAATCCCGCCATTCGAATTTTGTCGCAAACCATTGCCTCGCACAAGCGAAACTTAGTTGGTATGTTACAAGAAATATTAGTAAATTAACAAAAATCTGCTAATATTTTATTAAAAAAAAATAACAAGTAAAAATGTCATGTAGAGTAAAAAAAATTGCTGAAATTATTTCAAAAGATCACAGAATGTTTCTTATGAAATTTTAAATTTAGAACAACATTTAGTAAGTGTTAAGAATGTAACACCTGTTTAACATAGCTCACATTTTTGTTGTCACCGTCACACATTCCGATGTAGCAAGTTTTATATTTGTACGTACAAGAAAATAATTTCACTACTTTAACTTGATTCATGTTCAACATTTATATAATAGATGAGTAAATTATAAACTCTATATATCATAACATGTATTATATTTAATATTCCCGAGTAAAATAAATTCCAATTCCGTGTAACATATTTCTCATCCATTTATTATCAAACAAACTGAAACCTTACAATTCCCTTGAAAAGACACAAGAAATGAACTTGAATGATTTTAATTCAACAAAAAATTACAATTTTCCTTAATTTTCTGCAACTTTTGTTCACAATTGGACACTATCAGTGTAAATGTAACATCAACTTAATAATTTCAGGTGATACAATATTCTATTACTAACTGTGGTATAAAGTTTCGAGGGCGATGTTCAGAACAAAGGTAATTAGGTTGGGTAGCGGCCGGGTCACAGGCGGAATGTGCCAGATCGCAGATATCAAGGCCGTAATTTGACAGGATCTGCTATTATGGACATGTCAAAGGCACGTTTGACATGCCAGGATTAGAAGAGGCCGTTCACACTGCTCTGGAGAGGCAATGTAGAAATTTATTAATTGCTTTCCAGTAAAACGATCGGTTTAATACAAATTTTGGACTTTTTAACAGTTATTTAACTACGATTACTGGTATAATAATTTCATTATTTTTAAAAATAAACTATACAAATTATATAAATCAAGTGTATAAAATTTAATTAATAAAAATGCGTCTAACGTATTTTGTGCATGACTGTAATTGGCATACATATGTAAAATGTTTGTGTGATTTTTGTTTTTCTGCTATTTATATGTATGCTGTTAGCTTGTCTAAATAAATAAATATGCAACTCGTTTTAGGTAATAATTCTAAATCTATACAATAAATAAAATTGCCGTATAGTACCGCAAACATGATGCATTTCTAAATTATTTGTATGTTTGTCTGTTCGAAAATTCGATTTTATCCCGTGTTATATCCGAAACCAATTTTATCGAGAATTTGATTGGAACGTAGCTGATGAATGCAGTCATATTATTGGATACTTCTTTTTACCGCTGGCCAAGTCACAGGCGATCGCTAGTCTAATATAAATCCTTTTAGCAAGAATATTTGCCTTTTAAAGTAAATATGACGTTTAGTTTACAAAGATATATGTAATATCATTTAGAATCATGCTTAGTTTACTTCTTAAATATCTAATCTAAATTGGCAAATAAATTGTTTACATATTGTCATATTAATTTACTTATATGTTTACAATAATTAAACGCTGGTATATAAATTTGACAGAGATTCAATGTGTAATATTTGCTCTTTCATTTCTCAATTAGTGTCGAATTATATGTGCTAACAAATCTGTTTGAGTACTATAGGTAAATATTGATTAATTAAAGCGTACGGGCGCGAACACATTTACCTATGTTTTAATAACAATTGCGAGTCGTTGATGAGTTGTTTCTGTTTCAAAAAGGCAATACTTTTTTAATTTCACAATGATATAATATAATATAATATAATATAATATAATATAATATAATATAATATAATATAATATAATATAATATAATATAATATAATATAATATAATATAATATAATAATATAATATAATATAATATAATATAATATAATATAATATAATATAATATAATATAATATAATATAATATAATATAATATAATATAATATAATATAATATAATATAATATAATATAATATAATATAGTATAAGCTTAGCCAGTATCATTATATCACTGTAAATTATACTGAGGATATTTATATATATTTTGTTTACATACATTACTTTATATACATATGCTTACTTAGTTTCTAACTTGCTTCTAGCTATATTCTGAATATAGACTATTATTATTATTACAATATACTGATGTAACACTAAGTTTTGTTTAAGTTAACTGACCTATAACCTCAAGTTTATCTATGTTTGGGAAACCTTACCTGTAATAATATTAAACAGCAACACAGAGATGTTATGAGCTTAAACGTTATGTTCATAAACAAATTGTTCTGATTTATAAGTCATTTGACTTAAATCGGAAACAGTGTAAGTTGAACCATTTTAAAAGGATTAAAAACAAAAATTATGATTTTTTATTTCATATATATTGTTAATTAATTATTACATAATATATATAATTAATAAGTAAGATAATTATTTAAATAATAGTTTTAATGAGATAAATAAACGACGTAGTCTTAGATATTGAATCTTTTTAATCAAAAGATTTCTAATCCAGTAACCATGGCTTTCTGAGACCGATATCCCCGTTTAAAACATTGCTATCTCTGTTCTGTCGAAGATTATGACAGAAATGACTATATGTTTGATACAGAGATTTTGATCTCAGAAATCAACGGTAAGATAATTTGATAACATCATGTTATATTGGAAAATAATTCGTGCGTTATAAATAAAATAAATCAGTGACGTGTACAGCAACGTGCGTACATCAAAAGGACGTTCATTACGTCGTCGTGACGTCACCGCGCGCGCCTCGTCGCCGAGATGGAAACGAACTCACGAGCGGTTCGCAAAGTGACTCCTTTTAATTTTACGCTCTACTGCCGACCACGATGCTCAAAGAGCAAATATCTATTTTAACTTCTTCATAAATTGTATACTTTTGTATTTAGATACACATTACTGCAAATCAACATATATTTTTTCTAACGAATAAATAACTTGACCACGCTTCCACCTGATGTCGAATGATGATATGCGCTAGCATAGTAAATGCTTATTTCACTTATTCTAAAAAGGGCCCACATTAGCCGGTCATACCTTGGCACCTTACCACAATCTCAATTATGTCGCGTAAGAGTCGGTAGACATATCCCAGTTTTCCGAGACGTGATAACGTCTTATAATCCAAATAATCTAATGGCAGTTTACTTTACAACCTTTTTTTTTAAATTATTATTTAATAAGTATGTGAAATATTTATAACGTTTTATTTATTCCTCTATTTAATATAATTTTAAATCTACATAATATACAATATTTGGACACACGTCATAAAATAACTCTCTAAAATAACTCCGTACCAATTGTAGCGTGAACAGAGTCAAAGGGAATGTAATTTGAAACGGAATATCCACCGATAGGTTTATGCTTTGTTGGATTTGTTTATGAACTTATTCAAAATAACTATATCGACAAATCTGTCCCGAGAGGACGCTTGACCGATAAATGTAGAAATCAAACATCTGTATATAAAGATTCCCATTAGATTATTCTGTACATAATATGACGAATTTCAAATGTTAATTTACTTCTAGAAAGGAAAAGATAAATAAGTTGTATCACAAAATATTGTAAGAAAATCTAAGTCAATTATTATTATAAGTATCTCGTAACAATTGTTTATAATGTGTCTCAATATGTCTGGAATGTCACCCGCACAGACAACAGCGGTGCGACTCGAATGCATTTAAATCGAATATTACGAACAACCAGC